GTCACCATCCTCCGCCAACGGATGGTTGTGAGTTTCTACGTTTGATGGTTGTGAGTTTCTACGAATTTCTTTACCGACCAGTTGCCATCTAAATTAACGAAGTATCAGATCATTATTGGACAACCAGTCCTTGTGTCCGCTCTTTTGAACCTTACAGTGATAGTATCCTTCAACTCTTTCTTGAAACCAGCTGATTTTGTCATTGATCTGAGGATATCAGCACTGATATCACACATCTTTCTGTTGGAACGCAGTAGATGCTTGTCACCGTCCTCCGCCAACGGATGGTTGTGACTTTCTATAAATTTCTTTACCGACCAGTTGCCCTCTAAATCAACGAAATATCAGATCATTGTTGGACATCGAGTCCTTGTGTCTGCTCTTTTGAACCTCATAGTGATAGTGTCCTTCAACTCTTTCTTGAAACCAGTCTTACCACAAACAAAGTCCTTTGTCTTCAGCTTCTTTGAATTCGTCCAGAAACCACTGTGTTCCTTTCGCACAGTAAATCCAATATGGTGTGCATATAAATAATACTGTTCATATGCTTCATTCTCGTTGTGGACCACTGCATGAAGCAATTTCTCTGCCTCGGGTGACTGTAGATTTAAACATCATTAATACAATGTCACAATACATAAATAACAAGATAATAATACCATAATAATACTATAAAATGCCATTAAGAAATGTTACCAGTCTCCTAAAAGAAAATCAAGTCAGCAGATCCAATATTATCTTAATAACACTGTGATACCACCAAAATAACACCAAATCCCTACGTCAGTAACGTTACATTGTGATACTACCAAAATAACACTGTGATACGACCAAAATAACACGAAATCCTCAAGACATTGACTTTACATTATGATACCACCAAAATAACACTGTGATATTACCAAAATAACACCAAATCCTCGAGACATTGACTTTACATTATGATACCACTGTGATACTACCAAAATAATACCAAATCCTTAAGAAATTCACTTTACATTATGATACCACCAAAATAACATTGTGATACTACCAAAATAATTTCAAATCCTCAAGACATTCACTTTACATTATGATACCAGATACTACTAAAATAACATCAAATCCCAACTAATATTCTAATGAACAATAAGAAATGGAGAGCAAATACAATAATAACCACTGTATCACCATTATATTTCCTAAATAACCCAACATCTCACCCAACCGAAACTTAGCGTTAAAACTTATCTAAAAATAGAGCAAACTTCATTAGCAATAAAATTACTCCTTAAAACCTAGAATTGCATTCGAACATCCTTCGTTAAAAAAATCTACCTGCAAATGTCTTTCTGTCGCATCTAAACTCTGCTCAATCTCATTATTCTCGGAAATATTCTGAGATTTCATCTCATTGTTATGATTCTCAGGAGTATTTTGAGATTCCACCAACATTTCTTCGTCAAAAATTATTTCCATCGAACCAGCTCCAGCGAACATGAGGGAAAAAATGAGAATATACCAAATCCCTATACCCTAAAACAGACAAAATGCCACTTTCTTCTATTGGCGGGAATCGAAAATGACAAAAAAGCGTTATTTTTTTTTAGGCAGGATTCGGGCCGTCGGGCATAAAAAACGCTTATTTTTAAGCTATACAGCCACGTTGAATCGCATTCCACATGGCGAATTTTTATTCGGTATCGCATGTAGGGGTTCATGCGGTGCACGTACCGAATAAAAATTCGATATATAGGTGGCTATAACTTCAAATTCTTGTTGCAATGTGGTCAGAAGAAAAAAGTGCTTCAGAAAAAGTATATAATAATACATTAATGATTATCATTCTATGGTCATGAAGAGTCATCTAAAACAGAGAAGAAAGAGAATTACTTGGAGTTATTTCATTTCACTGCCAATCATAATGAAGTAAAAAATAATAATATGCCAGTACAAATTTGAAATGTACTTGACCAAAAGCTCAAAAAAAAAAAAAAAGCTACTAAGGTCTTACTTTCCATCATGAATGGTGTTGATGATTCTCACTTCTTCTAGTAGATGAGTCTCGCGATGTGTCAAAAAAGAAAAAACTAACTATGGCAGTGAGAAATGTTGATAACGAGGGATAAGTTATTGACAGTTTCATTAGTATTAAATATATATACTTAACTATTGCAATTGCAGTTAAGAAAGTTCTTGAAACTATATTTGTCAAATGCTCATTGAGATTAGATAAGATATATAGCTAAGCTATGATAAGGCATATAACATGCAAGGGATAGAATTATAGATTAAAGACATTCATTCTTAATGATAATCCTCAAGAATTTAATGTTCATTGTTTTTCACATCAACTCCAATTATATTTAGTTAGTATAGTAAGGAATTATTAGCAATTGAAGTATCTTTTTGAGCTTACATTAAGAGTTATAAATACTATTGGAGTATCTTGTAAGACAATTGATACTCTTAAAGCTATTTAACATGAAATAACTTTATATATCTTAAAATTGAAGAGTTACGAAGTAGTCAAGGCTTGAATAAAGAGATTAGTTTGCAACAACCTAGTGACACCTATTCTCTGCATTTTTAGATTGTAATTAATCTCATAAAAGTTTATGCTTAATTGCTTACGTGATTTAAATGCTTGAAATTATCAAGGAGGAAGAGATTTATGATCAACAATCAGTTAAAGGTTGTGTTAATAGATGAAATAAAATATTTTGGCTTTGCCCTAATGATGCATTTATAATTAATATTTTGAATACAAATGAATTTTCACAATCCTTATAAGAAAAATGAACCAGTCATCAAAGATGCAATAAAATAGGAACATGGATCCGAACAATGACTAGGGCTGTCGAAAAAGCTCGTTGTTCGCAAACAGTTAGTATTCAGCTCGTTGGGGAGTTCGTATTTGATTCGTTCGATAAGCAAAGGAGACGAACACGAACAAATTTTTTTGTTCGGTTTATAAACGAACCAAACAAACAGTCATTTGTTCAATCGTGTTCGAATCGTTATTTGTTCGAAATATAAAATAATTTAAAATAATTATATATAAAAAATTTATCATATTTTAAAAATAATTATATACTATAAAATTTTATCATACTTTAAAAAATTAAATCCTATAAATTATAATTTGATCTTCAACTTAGCTTATAATAAATTCTATAATTTTGTATTTATCTTCAGATTCGTCTCTTACCTTAAATTTTATTATATTTCTTTTAAATTTATTTAGTTTCTTCGAGTTAACCATAGTTTTTGAGAGTGAAAGCTCACATATTGCCTTTAGATTTGAATTTTTTATGGATAAGATATGATATTATGACTTTATTGTGAGCTTTGCTTCGACCATTTTGCATTCAAATAATTCGAACATTTCAAATATTTTAAATATATTTCAAACAAATCAAACCGAACACGAAACCGAACACGAACAATAATATTTCAAACACAAGTCTATTTCAAACACACATAATTTCAAACGAACCAAACACGAACACGAGCTCTGTTCATTCGTGTTTGGTTCGTTTACACCCCTAACAATGACTATAAAAAATGAGGGAGAATAGATGAAGTGTAACATTTTTGTAATCTCTTTGAAATTAATGTTCCAGATACAAACTCTATATTCAAGATTTTTTGAAAGTCAATATGAAGAGCTGAAGCCGTAAAAAACTTGCATCATTATTGTACCCAGTTTTTTTTAATACTGCAATTGATATACAACTTCAAATAATAAATAATTGTTTCTCCTTTTCGTGTGGCATGCTTAAACCAAGTGTTGATTCCTTTTCTACTTTCGATAAAAAATTAATTTAGCTTGCAAAGTTATACCGAAAAATATTTCACAGTTTAGCTTGTATGGTTCTTTTATATCAGTTTTTCAATTACATTATTAATTTGCACACTAATAATGAATTCTTTGTAATTGGGAATGCTAATAAGAACTTGAAGTATTGAAATAGAAATCTGAGGCTGAAAATAAGGCGGATTTGATTCATTCACTCCTATATTAGGTATAAAAATTATTTAAGCGGCAGTGATATTATAGTTTATGAACGGTAAAACCTTTAATTATCAATTAGTGATTCTAGCTATACTATTTTTATACTATTTCCTGATGCCAACAAAACAGCTTCATTTTAAGTGTCATTAATCAACTAGAATTGCCTGTCCATAGCTACCCTCCACGTGATTAATACTAGGCAATGTCAGCGCATCTCCAATGATCTTGAAGTTATAGAAGAAGCAGTCCAATGGTTTTCTTTACATATTTCTCATAAAAATAACAATCAATTTAAGAACGGTAAAAAGTAAAGCAACTGAATAGTACTCCCAAGGGAAGCCCAAGTTGCCGCAAACTTGGCATAAATAGTTATTCGAGGAGCTGAAAACTTGAAAATTACACTCAAAAGCCAAACTTCCGATATATAATACTCACGATGTTAGTGACCCAAATAGAGCTTAAGACTGATAATGTAGCTGTACACTCAAATGCTCTAAAAATTCTCTATGAAGACTTACAAAGATTTAGTTTCAATAGCCATGATAGTAGTGCTTATATCGTGCCATATACAGGAAAAATGGTGTATAAAAAATTTCAAGTTAAATGGAACCCTCGGTGAATAAAGGATTTTGATAGTGGCTTCTAGAGTTGAATAAGAAGACCAAGTACCTATTATTAGCATGCTATCAACCACATGTTTGAGTACAATTAATATCATAATGGAACTCTTTAGATTTTTATACCGATAGGATAAAAAGGTTAGGATAAGGCTGACGATAATGATGGTAAGAATACCACGCTCCCATTGGGTAGTACATGCTTTGTCCCAACTGGCCATTGCATAGTTAAGGCTATTCTTCATCAATTTTAATTAACAAACATAAACTAGTACAGAAGGAACTGTTCATAAAACCCACCCTTGACAAATTCATTAATACATAAACAACAGAAGAGATGGTTATTTATCGGTTAGATTTAAGTACAAAATAACTAGGCTACTTACTTTTTCTTCTCCATGTCAGGTAGATCACTCCTAGAAAATCTCTCAGCAATAACCTAACACAAACATCAGAAAAAAAATTTACAGCTTTAGCAATATGTTATCTTATATAGTCCTTCAGTAAATCAAAAACATATAATAACGACTATCAAAGCTCACTATATTCATAGCATTATTAAATGTAGTATTATCATGTTGACAACATAGATTCAATGTTTTTTCTAGAAGTCCCTGTTTTAAAAGACATTAATGCCAGAGGTAGCACGCCAACCCAAATTATATGAAAAAAAACATGGAAAAAAACAAATCAAACCACTCAAAATCATTTTGTGGGCTACTATATTATTACAATTATTTTCAAAAAGATGTCCTTTCTAAATTTAAAAGAAATCAAGTTTTGAAATGCACGAAGAACTTAAGTAAACATAACTAAGTGACCAATTAGTTCTTTAAATAGAACAACAATGAAATCATGGAAGAAGCATAAAGTATGGCAATAAGAAAAATATGTAGTACATACAATAAAATAAGCAAACTAATATAAAATACACACACAAACACACAACCAGCAAATGCAACTAACAGACTTTTATTTTCCTAGTACATCATTTTTTCTAGCACCCATGTAATTATTGAAACATGATATGCAATAGCTACATATAAAAAACCAAAACTTTGAACAAAGTATCACCAATACATGAGATTTGATTGCTAACATTTCAAGGTTACAAAAAATACATATGTATCATTTTTCTTCATTAAATAAGAAAAAAGCAAACAAAAAATGAACAATTACCCAATAAAATATAAAAATAATCATATAAAACTGTGGTTAAGTTCTCAGACTACAAAAACACGTCCACGCAACTTTTAAAAGGACCTTAAACATTCTCAATAGCACATAGCTGACACATTCATTTTTTTTTACAATAATCAAACCAAATGATTGTTTTTCATAACTCTCGGTGTCCTTTCTTCTTAAAAATCGATACCTTGCTATTTTCTCCCTCCTAATAAAACATAAAAAACCAATTAGAAGCCCCAAACCAGAAGAAAAAGCTTATCCTTGACATCAGCATTGAGTCACATTGCATTAAGTGTTTATCCTCCTACATAGGGTGACTATCCCTCTAACTATCGTTCCATCAAAGCCTTGACACTTCAAGGATGTTGCCACCAGGCTTGCACTTATATCATTTATTCTTCATTGGAAGTGTCCATGCCTCGTACATTCAGCTCATTTACCTTTTAAATCCATAATTTTTCACCTACAAAAGCATCTCTATGAGTTATTAGATTGGCGTAATGGTTATTGAACAGTTTGCTCAAATAAATTGAAGTGTAGTTTAGCTTTTCTTTGTTGATTCATAATGATTATCGTGCTTTAGATGTATGAATATTTTAAAAACTATTTTCCTTTAAAGTTTTCGTCATTAACCTACAAAAGGTGTTTGCTTCTAAAATTGTTATTTTGCTTGCTGTCTTTTTCTAAAGATAAACCTTTATACCATTCATTGCTTGGAATCAGGCTAAATTACCCTTATGCATAAGCATTAGACAGCCACAAACTATAGTGAAGAGATTGGGACTTGACAACCTTTAATCTAATCCTTCATGCATATTGTTCAAAAGACAAAAGATATCATGTTTCCTATAGTTTTAGAAGTCTTTTACCATTGGTTGTCAAAAGTGGACCATTCTGTCTTGGGATTTTAAAATATAACATAATTGATCGCTCATTTACAAAAACTTTATTGAATCTTTCAAAAGTGACAAGAAGAACAAATGAATGGGCACCAAATTGACCTTTCCTGTCATTTAAATGTTGCACTTTTAAAAAAAAATTGCTCCACTTTGTGCACGATAAAATAATTTTCCTAGTTCTAAGGAAATTTTTCTTTCTCCAAAATTCTAACAGTTTGGTTTGTGTGTCAAAACTATGGTAAGCTAATAGAAAAAATAGATGAGAAAGGAGTCAGGAAAATAAAACAAAATAAAAATTTTCTATAATAGGCTTTTTTGCTGCTACCTAAGTTTGCTGCTGAGACAATTTAATTTATCTTTAAAAAATGAGTTTCCATTTTTTAAGATATTTGAGCAATTTTCATATACTTTATGCGATACTACCTTGCTGTATGTGAACAAAATATTAATTACTAAATGCATATTTTAAAGATTTGTAAAACTGTGATAGAGTGCTGTTGTGGCTAGAGCTTTCTTTATTGATTTCCTTGTTACATCAAAAATTGAAGCACCTCAAAACTTCATAATATCATGTAAGACAGAAAAACTTATTAGCTTACATGCATGCAACACATGCGCTTCCTGCGCTTCCAAAAAAAAAAAAAAAACCATGGTTTTAAACATAAATTTGCTTATTGCTTTGCTATACTCAAATATTGTGTATAAAAAGCTGAGAAAGTAGAAAATCCGTCAATGCGAAATTATTAAGATTATTGGACAAGTTTTACTATTTTTCATAGCCAATTATTTTCAGTCCAACAACTTAAAAGTAGCATATAGCCAAATATTGTCGCAAACTAGTGATAGACGATAATTTAGTTAGAAATCAGCTACCAAATATGCATTCACTTGGTGCACACGCATCTTTCCAGGTTTTTCAGGCCGATTTCAGAATACAAAGTTGACCAATTACGGCTTAGGTTTTCAGGTCAAGTATGCTTACAGGTGTTCGAAAATACATGAAAAAAAAGAAAAAAAAGAAAAAAAGAAATTACTCAAGCTATAACATACCATTAAAATAATCATTTGTTTGTTTCGTTCTACATTTCTAATGGCTTCAACCAGAAACCCTAATGAAACACGCATGACTAGTTTCTTTTTCCGCAAGCAAAGGAGGGAAAGCAGGAATTACTTTTGGACAATTGATAAGATTTCAACTGCTCCCTACAGAAAATTGAAATATAAAATCCTTAATTGAGTGAATGCCAACAGCAAACTCACCGGTACCCGGTCAGGATATTTGGCAACGATCTGCTTGGACTCCTCAAATCTTTCCTCTGCAACCACATTAGCATTTCAATACTTTGAAATCCACTTGCCAAAACTGGAAACTGTGGATTAACAAGATAGATGACGAACCGAAGGAGTACTCTTCCTTGAAAGATTTGATCTTCTTCATCCTCAACTGCTAAAGAAGTTAAGGTTGCTGCAGAGGAAAAGGAAAGAGATGAACGACTTCGGCGCCGGGGGTTGCGTCCTTGCGTTGGCCGTTTGCTTGCTGGCTGAATGCAGGGAACGAAAGAGGGAAGAAACTGAGTTATACATATCTGCAGGAGCACGAAATCAATTAATTTTTCTTTTAGGAAGATTTACATAAATGCCCCGCTCAATTCTTACATTTTTACATAGGGAAAAGATGAACTTGCACATTGTTACATATTTTTACATTTATTATTCTTATATTTAAAAGATAATATTATGTAAGAAGGTAGAACTTATTTTTTACATTTTGCATGTCATTTTTTCTTACATGCAATCTTTTCTTACTTATTTTCTTACATTTTTACATATGTAAGTATAGACTATACTCAACAAATTATATTTTATTCAAAGCATGAGTACAGTGTTTTACTTGACAAACTTCATATTATGAGCTGATTCAAAAATAGTTTGTAGTACTTTTATATATATATATATAAACACACA